CCGGAGAAAGAGAAAACATCAGTCTGACTGACGAAATGCCTTAACTATTTCTCATTCAGTTTGGATAAGTGTTCTAAGAGCTAATTCATTTCAGTCTTTAACTCACCGGACAGCAAATCAGATCTATCTGACTGTAGACAGAAAAGAACCTTTGATAACAAGTCTTTCTATTGACTTACAGGGGAAAGAAATTGCGTTGAAAGCAAAGATCAGGCAAATTCCCTGAACTAGGAAGGGGGGAAGACCTGCAAGCTAAGACCAAGAGAAGTTGTACCTCTCCTTATTCGACCTAAGAAGCCTGAAGCCTGACTTTGGAAGTTGCTGTTCTCACTTACTCCTCTATTTTACTCCATAAGCCATAGATGAAGGGATTGAATTCTTATTCATTTTCCTTCTATTCTATTCTATTATCTTACTACAGATCCAAGTGTAACTCCAAAGTGAAGTAGGAAATCCGTCATAGGCGAGTCAGAAGTAGCAATCTTGGACGCATCTGCTCCGAAGGAGGAGTTTACTGCTTGAGGACTTAGTCAGCTTTTCTTTTTACACCGACCTTTCCTTTGTGTATGAAAAGTACAGACTTTCATCCTATGGATATTCTGAGCTGTAACTCAAAAAAAGAGTTTGGGACCGAACTTTTAACCAGAGTCATTAGATCAGGTTTCGATTCCTATTTATCTTGTTGTGCTTGAGGAAATTGAGAATCAAGCTAGTAGGAGTTAGCGCTAAGATTCAGACTAATTTCTTTATCAGTTACAGAAAGACTAGAGATAGGAAGTCTGAAAGTCAGAAAGAAAGCACTTCCTTACGAGAATACAAATGCATTGGAAGAAAGTAGGCCTGGAAGGCAGTAATGTGACTGATCTTTTGTTACATGCCAGTACTTGAGAATAAGGAGCTTCTTTATTCGTTTTCGTTTTATTTGGCTGAGCATTAAGCACTACGAAGTCAGAAGCAGCAGAGAACTCATTCGATATAGTAATTACCAAAGCCGCTGCCGAAGATGAAGTATGAAGTACTGAGTGAGAAAGAATGACTATTGATCTTAATCCCCGATGGTGAGAATCAAGTATAGTTAAAACCTCAGCGTCAATCTCATTTTCTTTGATTGGTCTTTCATCCTTGGTAAATAAAGCCAACCAGCGATTTAGAAAGTAGTCTATCTTTCAATCGACCCGTAAAAGACTGAGAAAGGCCTATAGGACTCTATAGTTGGCAATTCTTTTCTTCCAATTACCTTGTAGTAGAAAGCATTGGCAGAATGGGAAGGTAACTAAGGAAGTTAGAATGTCTTCAATTCATCTTTCCCCTCCTTCCTCAAAAGTTGTGAGTGCAGGCTTTACCCAGAGATAATGAATGTCTTTATTGATAGCCTTGGGAAGTATATTCAGTCCTGTCTTTCCTTCTTGGAAAGTCAGAGGAATGGTTAGGAATTCTTAAAGACTAAACGAATTTACCGTACTTTCCTAAAAATGAGTAGGAAGATTGGCCCAAAGATTGATTGAATTACTAAACTCGGGTAATTAATTAATTACTTCCTATTATACCTTTTCATCTCTTTCCCAGGAAGTCTTATGGTAGTCAGATGAGATTCAAACTAAGTAGCTTGAGAAGTTAGTGTAGTAGTTTGAAAGAAAAGTTTGGTTGAATACAGGCCTCGTGCAGGATACAGAAAAGTTGACATTCATTGAAGTGTAGAAGATCCTACATTCCCAAACAAGGGGATGAAATTACAAAACCTGCTGAATCTGATCTTGTAGGCCTGTAATATTACCTAGAAGGTAACTCAGGAATCAAGCAACTACTAAGGCTAAGCCCTGGGAACGAGAACAGATCTGGCAACAAGTCAGTCTATTCTAATCCCTGAGAACTGCCCATTGAATCTGAACCTTCTGAACGGAATAGGGAAGTTTCCGTTCTGGAGGATGCTTGCAAGTTTTATGTTAGAGGTTAGAGCAAAAGCTAGACTTTAGATAGAAGATTCAGTCATTCACATGTCTTAATAAAGCCAGAGCAGAGAAGGTAGACTTTTGATTTTCCTAGTAAAGGGACTCTCTAGTTGTTGATGTTCAGTCTCGTCTTTCCCCTACTGCTTCTGATAAGGCCTCAAAGGTGGTTAGTCAGATTTCATAGTTCTAGTAAATCAGTCATTGGATTTAGATTTAGTGTGTAGGCTGTACTTGACTATTTCTTTCTCATTATTTCTTTATAAGGATTCTCACTATGAATACGAAAGAGGTTTCCCGCAAGTATCCGATTTCTTTCTCCGTAATACATTTGTTGTTAAGGAGTCAGAAGAAAAGAAAGATCAGGCAACCTCAGTCTCTTCCCGGAATTCATACCAGTCAGTATTGATTGAACTCGTCCCGGATACTCTTTTCTATATTTCAATGAATGGTTCAGTCCTTGAGTTCCTTTGTTTCGTCTAGGCTAAAGTTGAAGTTAGAGCTAAGTTATAAGGAAAATCAGCTACTAAGGAAATTACCTCAGGCTGATCTTCCCCGTCCGTAAAGAAATAGAATGAAGAGCTAGAAGTGCCTTCTTAGTTCATTCCTTTAGCAGCGAACTGATCTTACGGATCTTCTCCCTTTCCATATGAAGTGATAAAAGGAAAAACCTTGGCCTGCCCAAGATCAATCAATCTCGCTATTTCTTCCTCCTTTCCTGTCCCAATACGTAAGAAGCAATTTCAGCCTAACTCTTAGTCGAAACTAAAGTCATGGATTCTTATCCAGCCTCTGATCTGACTATTCCTCAAAGGTTCCTGAAAAAACGTAAGGAAAAACAAGACAAGAAAAGGCCCTCGGACAAGGATCGATCTCCTATGCCCTCTTATCTTAATCCATTCAAATACCCCAGGGAATGAATAACCTCAAAAAGCCTGTTAGTTGCTTCACATTCAAAGGCCAGGAACCTTTTTTTCACCAGAATTAGGATGGCTTTTCATCGAAGAAGCTACTGATGACTGAATTCCTGATAATCGAATCTGTTTAGTTAGGCGGACTCTCTTTGCTGATAGTGAGTAGCCCAGAAAAGCCAAAGAGCAGCCGGATGAAACTCTAAGTCTGAAGCAGGAAGTCAGTCTTGATATGATGATTGAGTAGAGCCTACAGCCTTATATTCCGGAAGGAAGGGATTCTCTTGTTACAAGCCCCGATCCTTGTCATGTGGCCAGCTTTGATATTGTCCTACATTACTTAGCCGCCTACTTCAAAAGCAGGTAAAGGCCTTAAAGCAAGTCGTATTGACCGACAAACATGCCCTACTCTTTAATAACTAAAAAAACTACTTCCAATGTCCCGTTACGATTAACAGGACTAACGCAGACTCGAAAGAGCAATAGTGACAATTAGACTACTGTAGAAAGTCGTAATGGCAGTCGCAAGCAATTATCTTTATCCAGCCTCAAGCAATTATCTTTATCCAGCCTAAATAAACAGACTAACTTCCTCATAATCTACCTTTCATTCTTCTCACTTCTTTCGCTCAGTCTTCCGGTTCAGAGGTAATGAGAAAGAGAGTTTGATTCAACTAGCTCCCCCGCAACTGATGAGTAGACTTTTCCATCTCTTGCTTTCAACTACCTTGACTAGATAATTGATTCTGGAGGGACTAGGAATCGAATAGGAGGAAATAGCCTGTAACTTCCTACTAGACAGACTGATTAGGTTCAATCTTCTTTAGTCACCCGGAAATGAAGGCCAAAAGACCCCAAGTCCTGGATTTCTCACTTCTTTACTTATCTCAGGATCAAACTTATGGTAATTACACAGCTACTTCGTTTTTTAGGGCTACTTCTGTGGGATATGATAAAATACTGAAACTAGAAGAGAAGGGCAGAAGGGATCCAATTCTATTCTACTGCTTGAAAAGCCTATTTATCTGTTAATGCCCTACTCTGATAATATGATCTTTCCGCTGAGGAATCAAAATAAAGAAAAGAATATCTCACTTTAGACTGAGTAGCCTAAGAGGAATGAATCAAAGGGTTTTGACTGAATTTACGACTTTAGATGCATTAAGGGCTTGCAAAGACTGAATTATTATAATTAGACTTGCCTTATGGACTTCGTAGTGCTTTCCTGCTCAGTCTTCACTCTCCCCTGAAATTCATTAAATGGAAACCTCAACTCATTTTTTTCTTCTTCCTTACATCCCTCTCAATCAAAGAGCCGGGGACCTTGAAATAGCAAATTCACTGAGCACGGCAAGACTACTTTCTAAATCGTAGGATTAATGTCTAAGTCTATCTCGAAGCTCCTACTTATCTTATGACTGACTTCTTGCCTCTACAGGATCTGTAGAAGTAGGCTAAAGTAGAGACTTGACATCTTGAGTACCACTCAATCTTCATATGTCATATGTCAGTCCTTACTTGCTATCCCACAGAAAGGTCTTTTACGAAGACTATATGACTTGCAACCAAAAGAGAAAGATGACTTGCTACTTGCTTAACCGATTTCTTGCTCTCAGGCCGCCTCTCAACAATTTGATTTGAAGCAGGCTACTTTCCTATCTTTCTAAATCCCAGGCCCTACCAGAATAGAGTAAGTCAGAGCTTTTTGCAAGGAATTAGTGAAAGGTCTTTAGTGACCCAAGGTTCTTTTATGTTGGGACTTAGTCATCAACAGCTGCTACCTCACTAAGCTACCGGGCAGAGCCTACGAATCACTTAGCTGCTAAAAATGGATAAGATCAAAGAATATCTTACCGGGGAAGAGAGCTGGACTCAATCTCAATCTGAATTTGAGGAAAGTCCATTACATTTGTTTGAAAGACTTTACTAGATTTCTACTTTCATACTTGACTACCTTAGCTGAATTAGGACGGAAAGTGTGACATACTTCAAATCGATAATTAATCCCTTCTAAGGCCAATCTTCCATATGAAGACAGAAAAATGAATGGGAAGCGGAGGCTATTTCCTTGAAACCTAGCTTTCCTAACTCTAACTACCAGATCTTTTGGTCAAGAGGCATTCTCTAACTGATCTATCAAATGCTCTTTAACAACTAAGAAATCAAGGGCAGGAACTAACTGACAACTGACCTACTATATAGCTCTAACTTGAAGCTATCCTTGTGAAATTGAATCCCTAACTTCCCAAGGAGTGGAGAATATGAATATAGGATCTGATTGAGCTGCTAACTTGAACTTCCTCAATTCAACTGCCTCCCTTTTTAGTATTAGTAAAAGAACAAGAGCTAGGGGTTTACTCTTTGACTCAATGAGTGGGAAAAAACGGGCACATTCTTCCAAAATACATGACTCTGGCTTCTATGTCTTCTCTTGCAGCTTATGACTGATTAATGAATGCAATAGTCATTCTGACTTCGTAGTGCTTATCCCCTTTAGACTTCGAACTTCCTTTCCTACCAGGGCTTTAAACGAGCAAGAAAGAAAGAAGACTAGGCCCTTGCATTAGACTTCCTTGTTGTCTACCTTTGCTTTGGAGAGGAAGTATGGGCAAAAATGAGATTTCCGTCTCGTGGCTCTACGTCTCTCTGCCTTGCTTGCAGCTCATTCTCAATAGTTATGGCCTTGTCACTCAATCGAATGAGTTGTTATCTCTCCAAAAGCAGTCAATCTTCTTTTTGCCTCCCAAGGACTTGATAGATTCTATGTTTTTTGTCTTTTTTTGCTTGAAACTCTCAAATCTGATGAAGCAAGAGAATGCAACAAAATAGAAAGATCAAGGATTCTCTAGTCAAGGGTTTTTCTTTCTTGGAGAGAATGAAAGACTTGATAAGAGAGATTACTGAAGATATGGCGCTTATGGCGTCTCAGGCTGATTTTCTTTCTTCTTAGTTACGGTTTTTGAAATAGGAGGAAGAGGTTGTCATTGTACGTGATTCAATGGCATTAGGTATATAATAGGCTTGAAGAGCCTGATAATGGAGATGATTCGATTTAAGGCATTGCCTCCGTCAGACTTTTCAGGAGGGTAAATTGCCTGATCTTTCTTTTCTTCTTACTTGCTGCCTTATCTGATGAAGCTAGGGAATGCGCAATAATAGAAAGACTTTTTCTCAGGCTTCTCTTCTCACTTACTTTCTGGTAGGTTTTAAAGTCAATCTGAGGATATAGCTGTTTAAGGAAATTAAAGTATAGACCTTATTCCATCTTACTTGACTTCGTAATACTCTTGTTTTCGGTTTCCGAGTTAGACTGATTTCCAGATATCTTTGACTAGGAATTCCCTGTAACTTACCTTATCAAAGACTGCTGCTCAATCTAAGTACGGAATCGAAAGACTGATCTCTAGATATCTCACTCAATCCTACTGCTTGCTTTTAAAAGGCATTCTCATTCTATGGAAGTCTAACTCAATAGTTCGAGTTCTCTTTCTAGTCACTCTTCTGTCTCAAGTCGGGGCTTGTATTGAAAGAGAAAGACTAAGTCATTCAACGGTCCTTGTGCTTTCCTAACTATATCGTCTTTCACTTCAACAAATCATGCAACATCAGAAGATACCTGATAAGATAAGGAATCAACTACAAGGGGAATAAGATTCGGATTACCTTGTAGATCGAATATCTCAAACCAAGAACACTTTGTTTGAGATTCGAATCACTCCAGAAGCAAGATCGATCATATCTAGCTTCAATGATTCTTGTTGATCAAATATCTCAAACACTTGTTTGAGATTCGAATCACTCCACAAGCAAGATTGATCATGTCGAGCTTGAATGATTCTACATGCAA